GATGATGTCTTGGCCTTGATTTTTGAAAATTTTGAGTTAGTTGTTGCAAAGTGTGTGAGCACTTGGATGCTATTGAAGAGAGGAAATTTATTGCTTCTCTTCTTCGAGTGAGCACCCGACTTGTGGTTGCCCTCGTTTATTTTGGTTCTTGCGAGTGAGGAGCCGACCTGTGTCTACCTACTACGCTTTTGATAGCCGTCTAGGTTGTATGACTTTCAGTTTTGATTAATACAAATTTATTTAACCATAAAAAATTAGTATAGTATAACAATAATCTTACAGCCTTTGTTTTACTATTTTTGCTTGGATCTTTGCATGTAATATATTGTTTTACTGTGTCACTTAACAAAAAATTGTTGGTTTTTGTTTTCTAGATTCACTGTAACACCCCGCCTTAAAAATCAGAGTAAATTTTTTGCGTTATAAATGGAAAGCTCTGCTTTAATTTCCGAAAACTCATATCAATTTTTCGAAAATACTTTAACTTTAAAATGCGGGATGCTACTCGACTTTAATATTATATCTTTAATCTTTATCTTTTTAAACTAAAATGCATGCGACCAAGTAAATTCATTCTAGAATTAAGACCATGAATAATACCAGTTAACACATCCATATTCTGATAATCTGACATAATCTGACATCTGAAATAATAGTATGAAATCTGACATCTGAAACACAAATATAACAGGCGGAAGTAAGTACAAGTTCAGAAAAGCACACAAGCATAAAACAAACATAGATAATTTAAATATGTTCAAATACTATATGACATGTTTTCAAAAAAATGTCCTGAAGCTGGACCAACACCACATATCTGCTCACGCATCACGCGGAACTCCATCACCTGAAAAATAGGGTAGTGGGGAGGCGTGAGCACAAAGGAATCAATGGTGCTCCGTCGGAACCGACACTGAATACTCAACACAATTAATAACAAACTATGAAATCAACATTTATATGAATAAACTAGTCTGACTATGGGACTAACGGTAAACCGGTACTCATGTGCACACTCTGGGGGTCCCCTCCCACAGAAATCCAGGAAATGCATTAATCACCCCATCTGGACGCTAGATTTAGGACGGGCCTTAATCACACACATCCAAGTCATAATTGAAATACTGAAATATTGACCAAGACGGGATCGCTCATCCGTCTCGGTCCTTCAATTTAATCACATATAGATCTCAGACATGGTAAATTATTAAAAGTGATGAAATACACAGTACATGGTCCCCACCTGGAAAACGACGAATGCAAATGCTGAAATATCTTAAATATGTTGTGTAGCAGATGGATGCTCGACTCTCCTCAAGCTACAAATTATGAGCGAAATATTCTAAGTACTAGGCTTAGGATAAAACTCAAATCCTTAATATATATTGTCTAGGTTCGCTCACTCTGTCTTAAAAATCATTTTAGGGATTTACGAGCTGATTTTGAAAGTATTATCGTCTTTGAGGCATTCTAGAGTTCTATGAAATATTTCTAAGTCTGGAACTAAAATCTGACTTAATCTAATCTGCCTAAAATCTAAACTATATATGGATCTTAAATCTATCTGGAATCTTAACTTTATCTGAAATCTTAATCTCACTGAATCTGAAATTTATCTGAAATTTTATTTGAAATATATCTCGAACCATCCGGACTGACCGGGCCGGTTCAACTGAACTGGACCGACAACTCACTCGGAGTTGGTCGGTCATTCGCTTGACTATGTGCAGCTTGGTTTGACCGTGGTCCGAGTTCGGTATGGCCACTCGGGCCGGCACGAACTCGACTGACACGGCTTAGCCGATGCACGATCTTGAAACGATGCCACGGTCACTGACGCAGGAACGTGCTTGGACCGCGGCTAACAGAACGGCGCGTAGACGGTAGATCGGATGGACTCGGTGCACGGGCACGCACTCGGGGGTTTGACTCGGACTCGGTGCACGGGCACGCACTCGACGGTTCGGATCCAACGGTCGAACGAGAGGTTATCATGTGCGCGAGATGATGATACGCATTACGAAATAACAATACGACGACTAAAAATTATCCAGACGGTACTAGGGTTCAGTCATTTAAAATCGGATCAAAAAATATACCCGGTTATCAGGACCGGATAAAACTAGCTAGGGTTCGATTCTCGAAGAATCCTAACTCATTTAAGGTCGATAATCAATGTATATATTCTATGTGATTTATAATGATTTTAAAATCAACAACTGTAGCTAAAATCTCAACCGGACTAATAATCTATTTTTATCGCGATAACGGCTAAAGTCCTGATTTTTAAATCTAAGTCAAACGACATCCAAAATTCATGAAAATCAAAACATAATATCCTTAATATATATAAGGTCCAGGGTAAACAAAACAAGTCTAAAGTCAACCCCTAGACTAGTCAACTAAAAATCGATACGACCAGTCAAAGCATTTAACCGTCTTGTTTACCTATCAAACAACGTCAAAAAAATTCTCAAATTTCAATCTAAACCTCAAAACGACGCAATGAATTTTATGGTATTTATTTCGGTATTTTATCACATATATTTAAACGGGTCTCCAAAATTGATACAAGCTCGTAAATGTCCCCAAAATTCAAAATCGCTCAAATCACCCAATTCATTAATTTTATATCATTTCAAAAATCATATCTAAGCCATCGGAGTCAGGTTAAACTATTGTACCTTAAAATGGCACGGATCGGAAAAACGGGAGGTAGATCGAGCTAGAAAATAGTCAACGAAACAAATTGGACCGGGGCTATGAGCGTGGGTCGCGAATATGAGGGCTCAGGAGCTGCTATGTCGCAGAGTTGAGCTCGTTGAGGCTGGTTCGCCGCTGCTGTACGGACGTTGCGTGTGGAGGAGCTACTTTTCGGCGAGAATGCACCAGAATCGGGCCTGGGTACATTGAAGAAGCAGATGGGGTGCAGGGAAGCGGGTCTGCTCTTGTGTGATAGGCTGCTGACTTCGCAAGTCGCGAGTATAAGCTGAAAGCGGACTGCTACAGTGACGCGGAAGGTGGTTCTAGGCTCACCGGAGGGAAGAAGCGGCTAGGGTCGCAATTCCAGGCTGTTATAGTGACGCGAGCTTCGGCTTGGACTGATGGTCGAGGGTGTGAGCAGGTTGTGCTGGAATCAAGCTGGAACGACACAGTTTAGACTCAGGGAAGGCAGGGACGGGCTGCCGACGTTGAAGGTTGCAAGGAGGATTTGAAACCGAGCTTGGAAGCGGGCCTTCACGCGGGAGCTGCGGGATTCGAGGTGGGCTGGCCGTGAAGGGCTGGAAACGAGAAGCTTGGGTCGCGTGAGCTCAGTCTGAGGTGGGGTCGTGGCTCGCTTGTGCGGCTTTGCCGGAGAACGTGAAAGATGGCCAGATTTTGAAGCTTCAAGCCATGGACAAGAAGAGATGGTGAAGATGAAGTTTTTTCTTTAATTTTTAAGGCTAGATCTTGAAAAGCTAAGACATGATGTAGATATTTGTACAAGATCTTGAAAAATGTGGTGTTTTTGGCTTTGGATCTTGAATTTTGAAGATGGTGAAGGAAGAAGATGATGAATAGTATGGTGGCTAGGGTTTGTAGGATGTTGGTTGTTGGGAGACAACCTATTTATAGAATGAGAGAGGAGCTTAGGGTTTTCTCTTGTTTGGCTTAAAATTGGGCCTAACAATTACTAAAGTCGGGCTCATTAAAATCATTATGTCATCGGGCTAAAAATGTTACTCGAATTGGGCTCTATAAATAAATTCGACTTGGGCCGAATAATTACTAGACTAGAGTTCGGAATATTATTGGCCGGTTAATTAAAAATATGACGGCTTGTACTAATACTTTCGACTTGGGCTGAAAATTAATATTGGGCCCGGAATTAAAATACTAAGAGGACTCGATATTTAAATATCGCTTGGGCATGGAAATTAATTCGACTACTCAAATAAATAATCAAACGTTCTACTGACAGCTTAGACTTTAATACTAATTGTTTAATTTAATGCAAATAATCATAATAAATGCATCAAATTTAGAAACTTAATATTTATGGAAATATAGTCGAGCTCCATAAATAGTAAATAAAAATATGGGCGTTACAATCTATCCTCATTAAAATATTTCCGTCCTCGGAAATTCCAAAACTAAGCATAAGTCCGACTCGACTATAAACTAGGAATCAAAAATACATAACACTAATCAGAACAGAAACTCAGGATAACGAGCGCGAATCTCCTCCTCTCGCTCCCACGTGGCCTCGGCCTCGCTGTGACGAGTCCACTGGACTCGAACGAGCGCTACATCTCTGCTCCTCAGCTACTGAACCTTTTGGTCCAAAATAGCCATCGGCTGTACCTCGTACGTCAGGTTCTGCCCGACGTCAAGCTCAGTGTATCTCAACATGTGCGTTGGGTCATGCACGTAATCCTTCAGCATCGAAATGTGGAAGACGTTGTGCACACCCGAAAGCTCGGGTGGCAACGCCAACCGGTATGCTACCTCGCCCACTCGCTCGAGGATCTCGAATGGGCCTAAGAAACGGAGCTGTAGCTTCCCTCTCTT